CTGAAAAAAACAACAGGAAAACTAGGATTATTTGATAAACATTACAACTGTAAGGACACTCTTTCTCCTTATCCTTCAGTGATATTATGGTTAAGCAAAAGTGCAATAGATGCACCTCTAGAAGCATTAATTTTCTTCTTAGTACAATTGCAAAGACTTCGGCCAAGTTCGAGCATTGAACGCTGGATCCAGGTCACATCTATGCTATTTGTTGAAATATTCTACCTGTTTAGCAACTATATTTATAAACTAAGATTACATGAATCCTGAACCTTTGTGAATTATTTTTTAAATTTCCTTAACCAGTCTGTGCTCCACTTTTGCTTATATAGGTATATAAATAGCATCAAAATAGGGAGTTGATGTTTTTCCTTGTTTGCATCATTATTGTGTCTTATTGTGCTTAATATTCTTTTAGCTTGATAAAACAAAACAAATTTTTAAATATTGTCTTTGTGAAAGGTTAGTATCCCCCTCAAATATCCTCCTGTCAAGGCTGAGCCAGTGCACAAGGAACTCAAACAATGTAGAGGTGCCAATGAAACAGATAAATTCAAATCGCCTTCCCAGTGTTGTCCCAAAGTAGTTTTCAGATCCAGTGCGATCATATATGGAAATTATCTGCAAATGGTGCTTATGGTATTTTTTGGGTCATCTCCAGACTCCAGCCCTTCAACAGAGCTTTTTGAGGGAATCAGTTTTAGTGATTGAAATTAAACTCAGGGAAACCTTCATTAAAATGAATCAATTTCTACTTTATCCTAAAATTACATATTTGGCATTGAATATCCCAAATATGTTCAATAGTAAGAATGCTAGCAATCTGCTGCCCTTGATAAATCAATACAATATGGAGACCATGACTGATGACATATGGGAAAACACTAGCATTGGTCCCTTGCTTAAGGGCCAAACCTTAAAACAACTGTTTGTAAAACCTCAAAATAATCTCTTTCATTTTATTTGATTTTCTCCATCCATTTTCCCAAGTTTTGTGGGCTCTCAAAATTCTTTCTAACTACCCATCCATCGACCTGTCCACCACTGCAAGCAAACATAGAGAGAGGGAGAGAAAGGATCTTTGGTATGATGTATAGATTTTCCCCCAGCTAAACTAAAAGAAAAGTATTTTTTTTAAAGCAAGCCCTTCTCTTTCAGCTCTGCTTCATCAAGTCAGAGCTCACAGTAACTGCTTCAAAGTTAAAAAAAAATAAATCTGGAGACCTAACCATTAAACTCCTGAGACATGAAACTCCTGAGACATTTGTAAATCAGTTCTAAAAAGAATATACTGTTTACTCAATTGCATATCCTATGTGTTTATACTAGCAAACCAACTCACTTTTTTTAAAGAAAAATTCAACTCAGATAAATCAGACAGGCTCTGAATGAAGTGCAAATGTTATAAATAAATGCCTGATACTGAGCCAATCTGCAGCAGAGAAGGTGGATCATAATTCTGTCACATAAATCCCTGACCAATTTCGCCTTCCCGCTCTGAACTATATGTGCCTTTTGGCTGAAATCTGTTCCAATTCTTGGCTGAAAACACCCAGACCCCATCTCTTGAGGAGCTTCTTAACAGCTGAGAATGTACCCATCTTCCCCTTGGTATATTGAATTCACTCCCTCTCATCTCAGAGACTATTGATGAAAATAGCTGTCCTCCCATCAATCATTCTCTCTCCTTGGCCATACAAGGTGAAGCAGGAAGATTATAGGAAGAAGAAGGAAAAAGAAAGCTGGTGGTGCTAAACAACGGGCTTGATAGGCATCGCTGGATATCAGAGGGAAAAGGCAAATGGGTTCATGAACCCATTTGGCAGATGAAACCATTCTCCTGGCAGGATATTTAATCAATCTGATGTCTCCAGTGCATGTTTCACTGTGTGTTCTGGGTTTTTTTGTTTTTTTTTTCACTGTCTCAATAATTCTTCTTGGCACTTGAGTTGGGCCACAATGCCATTCTATACGTGGTTCAAGAAAGCAGCAGCTGGAGCTTTTAAAAGAAACAAAGGAAGCCTGAGAGATTCATTTTTAACCCCATCCATTTGTCCAGATCTTATGCTCAAATCTTTACGCTCAATCTGTCTCCAAAGAACCAAGTTCGCTAAGAAGAGAGTCTCGAGATGAAAATGAACCCTCTCTGATCCTTTTCCACATAGCTGTGTAGGCTTGTGACATTTCTACTCAGGTTCTAGAAGGGTTCTTCAAGGGACTCTGTGCAGCATTAAAGTCCTTGCTCTCTAAACAAAAATATGCCTTAGTAAAGCCAGTCATAAACACTTTTATTGCAAGTGCTGATGTGGTTATTTTATTACAAAACATCATAGATGGATAGGTAATTACAAAAAAGTTTGAGAGCAGGCAAAACTTTAGAGCCAACAATGTTGCATTAAAACAGCTGGAGATATGGACACCTATATAGCCCAGGTAAGCCTTTCTCTTCTTAGAAGCAAAAGCCTTGCTTACAAAACAATTCAAACACAGGCAAACTCACGGTAACATTATGTTATTAGAAAAGTGCCAGAATTTACCATAAGAATAAAAAGAATACCTTCTATTATTTATTTATCTATTACCTATTTATCTGTTATCTATTATTTAATACTATTATTTAATTGGATTTCCTGTACATTGCAGGGAGTTGAGTTAGATAACTTTTGTGGTCCCTTCTAACTCTACCCCTCTATGAGTCTAAGAAAAAAAAATGTCTGCTTATCCTTAGGTTCAAATCGAAACATGGTGGCCATATGCTCAGTTGGAACTCTGGCACTTCCGAATGGGGACAACTTTAAGGATGAGGCATTAGAGCTTTTCATGCTGACATATTTTATTAGAGAGAAAACAAGGGAAATGCTCTGTGTGGCAAGGTGAAGCACAATTACCCAGAAAGTATGGGTATTCTTCTTCTTAATAGGATTGGTTTATATATTTGTAAAAACAAAAACAAACACCATAAGAAAATGGGGGCGGGTTGCAAGTAGAAAACTACAAAATCTGGGCCATTACATCTCCTTCATGAACTTAAATTTGGGTAAAGCAAAGTAATTGACCAGTAAAAGGCTTACCTAGAAGTCCAGTCAGACTAAGAACTGGTGCATATGTTGAAGCTACCACATGGTGGCAGTCTTCGCATGATGACTGCCTCCATAGTGCCCCAATCAAAAAAGATCTGCCATGATGTGCAGAAAGGTATCCAATCTCCCTACCATATAGAAATGGTTTCCAACATGGGACAGCTGCCATACGGGACATAGAAGGTACAGTAGTTAATAGTCCTAGGTCATGCCTCAGCCATATCCAATCAGGAGCAGAATTCAGGAGCAGATAGTCAGCTTTTTATCTTGCCTTTTTTAGAAGCATCAAAGTATTTTCATTTAGGGAGGCATAACAGAATATGCCATTATATAATAAGAGGAATATTATTCAGAAGAGATGCGATAATTGGGATGGTTTAGAATTTTACCTCAGTGATTCATTCATTATCAGAAAATATCATCTGACGATAGATAGATAGATAGATAGATAGATAGATAGATAGATAGATAGATAGAGATAGATAGATAGATAGATAGATAGATAGATAGATAGATAGATAGATAGATAGATAGATAGAGAGAGAGAGATAGATAGATAGATAGATAGATAGATAGATAGATAGATAGATAGATAGATAGATAGATAGAAAATAAATTAATTAATTAAAAAGAAAATAAAAACAAACAAAAAATTCAAAAGGCAGACTTGATGGACCACTGGATTTTTTTTCTGTCATCAGTTTTCTATGTTTCTACACACCATTGAGAAGATTCTGTTAAGGAGAAATCTAACACTGATTCCTGACTTTTTCCAGGTCTGTTATTTATCATGGACCACTTCATCTCTGCCGCCAGTTTCCAAGAAGACAACTATATTTCAGTCAATTACATAGTTAAACGTTAATCCTTTTGCAGACTTTATTGATCCAGCCTGTTTAAAGAGCTAAGATAGATATATGCTTTTTATACTTACATCTTACAATAATTTAAAGGCCGAACTCACATATGCTGATTTCAGCTCAGAATCAAACAATGCCATACCCTTTTCTCTCCCTTTCATATAGTCCAACACAAAATGTATAATTTGCAACAAAATCCGCAATTTTTAATATTGCTCATAAGATCTGAGAACAGTTCTCAGAATTGAATGTCTAACTGAAAAATACAGTGTCTAGCTGGGATTAAATCATCCCGATGGGGCAATATTTTTAGTGCAAGTCAAATAAAGCTCAATTGCTAAATGCATGATAACTAATTATTACTACTTCTAACTTTTTTCTTTGCCTGAACTCCATGACTAAACAAGCTGATTTTCGAGTTCACAACTGAAATAACCTCAACTGAAAAATAAGGTCGCTGCAACCCTTTATTTTACCAATCGTGCTGAAATAACCTAACACTCTACTGAAATATACTCTTTTAAAAAAAATATACACATTATCCATCATATTCAAGTGCTTTATTTCTACAATAACCTGAGAGATGTTTCTATTCAATGGGCTTCCCGCTGACATTTAAGCAATCCTCAAGGTCTCTCCACCCAATCCCTTTCTGTGGGAATTCAAGCAGGGAGGAAAACCCCGTTTAGGTTGTATTTCAGTTGACAACTTTTGAAAATTTTGAGTGTTTTGTGCAGGTGATACATATCATTTTTGACCACTTGCAGGGCCATTTACTTCTCATAAAACGATTCCTGTTTTGATGGATCACCTTCCTTTTTTTTTTTTTAATGGACAGCTGCTATTGCTTATTGTTACTAGCTTGAAGCAAACCCTTTCACCGAGAAGAAGTCCTGTGTTCTAGGATCTGGAAGCCTACTTTTATTGTAGGCCCACGAAGAACCTCTGCCTTCCTGCTTTGCATTCCATCCCAGTCTGAGTAAGACAACTTTGGACATGCCTTCTCCTTCTCTTCCCCTATACTTTACAGATATATGTCTCTCTTGAATCTCTTTCTTACCTGAGAGGGGGAGCTGAGAGAAGCAAGGAGCTTTCTGCCGAATGGATCAGGCTGCAGGCTCTGCCAACCCCAGCAGGCAATTAAGTCCTCCTGTTATAGTGACATCTGATCTTCTAGAGAAGCTCATTGGCCACCAGGCTCACAACAGTAAGGAGGGAAAGAGCAAGGAAAGAAAGAGGGGTGGGGAAAAGGTCAGCCCAAGTATAGGAGCAGCTGAAGGAGCTGTCCTAGATCAAGATGGGAGGGACATGTTTGGCGAGAGTGAAAAATAAAACACCATATAGCTTAGCTTTCTATATTTAAAATCCCATCAGGCCAGCGGAATTTAAAGGACAATCAGTTCAAAGGAACCAGAGGTTGTCATGTGTGCCGTGAAGAGCATGGTGATCGGTTGCCTACGACATTTTAAAGCCTGTCTAGTGCCAGAATTGTTCTAACTCCAACAGCACCCATAGGGTGCAACTGTAATGCTGGCAGAGAAGGCAGTGGGGCAGAAGGTTTTTCTGGAGTAAGCAGAAGAAAACTAAGGGAAGGCCCAGGCAGAACTGCAAGACCAAGCAATTGGCTCCATCAGAATAGCTAAAAGGGGATCCAGGTTCTGCCGTTTACTTAGTGAAGTTGCTGGCTTGGCCTTGCCATTCCAAAAAGTTAAAAGAGAAATTAAAAGATTACCCTGAGAGAAGCTTGATATCTGATATAAAACATCCTCCTCTGATGTAATGCATCATCCAACAACACAATATGTGTTCTTGATATATAAGAACAACAGCACATTCAGTGCAATGCCGTCCTTAAGGTTTTGTGACAGACTAAACACCTGGATGGATCTGAAACAACTGCGCATGTGGGTAAATGTTTTGCAAGCTGTGGTTGGGAAATCTATTGCAGACTGATGGTTGTTGCCCTTTTGACAAAATAATAATAATAATAATAATAATAATAATAATAATAATAATAATAATAATAATAATAATAATAATAATAATAATAATAATAATAATAATAATAATAATAANAAAAAATTCCAAGATCCTCGCTTGGAAAGGGACTCTTTCAAACGAGGGATGGAAATTGCTAAGGATGGCAATTGATTGAAAGGTTGGATCGGCGGGCTGCTTTCGCTTGAACCAATCACCCAAAAGTCACGAAGCGGAGAGGGATGCTGAACGTTCAAAGTCCCTTGAAGCTGGTTCAACCCGCAAGAAAGATTAAGCAAGTGGAAGTTTTACCTCTTTCTGCCTCTAGGGGGCTCGCGGGTCTCAGCTATAAGCGCCCCTCCGTTGCCTCTGAGCTTCCCAAATTCTGCGCCTGCCTTCCCTGGTGCCTTATCTCTCTCGCCCCCCCCCCCCGCCCCCAACGCAATATACACACCCGATTTGGCAAGTTTCCCTTGCAGGGGAGCCTTCCGCTGCCTCAGAGGGGTCGATCCCTCCGCCAGCCTCTTTCTTCCAGCCTGTGAGAAGGGAGAAAGTTCCTTCGATAAAAGAGCTGCGGGGGCAGGATTTATTTTTGGGCATCAGTCCGCCTCCCCCCCCCCCCTCCCTGGCTTGGAAAGGAAGAGTCCAAGCCAGGATGCGCCGACAGGGTTTGAAACCCGCGGAGCCGAGCGCGGCAAGCTGCAGCCTTTAAACCTCCGGTGCTGTTCACCAGGTATAGTAAATGGAGAGCAAAGCAAATTCTGGTGTCTCTCTCTGGCGGTTGTAGGGAAAAACAAAAACCAAAACAAACCCCTTCTCCTCTGAGGCGAAGGGAGAGCCGGGAAGGTCCTGCTGGCGAGGCAAAGGTTTCAACTGTATCGAAATCTCGCTCTGTAAAGGGGAGCAAACAAAAAAAAAAAGACAAAAAAACAAAACGGGGGGAGCTGGGAAGGCACATTAAGAGAGAGGGAGTGATGGGGAAATTGCTTCGTCTTGGATCTGAAACTTCGGGATCGGGGAGTGAGCGTGCAGGTAGCTGGCTCATTCGCCAGCCGGGTTCGCCTTCTTTTAAACTCTGCCTAAGCAGATGTTTCCCCCCCCCCCGCGCGCTGCAAACCAGCTGTCGATCAGGCCTTCGGGACTGTATTGCTTGCGGAGTTTTGAGAAGGCAAACTAAAATACTTGTTACACTCAGTTTGGTTAGTGGCTGGCAGGTTATTGCCCAGTGCTATGCAACTTGGAGGCTTTGGTGCTCTCAGAGCTTGGCTGCTTCCTCGCCCTGATGATGTTACCTAGTCAGGTAATGAAACGTCTGCAAGCAAACAACCAAGCTCAGAGAGGCACCAAAGGCTCCCCCTGGTCTCAGGAACAGGGAACCTCTTTCCGGACCTGGCTTCTTATTAGGATGCTAGACTTCAAAAAAAAGTTACAAAATGTGTAAGGAAACTTTTTAAAACTTGCAGCAGAGATAACATATTGACTCCCTGATTATATGCATGAAGGTAGACAGCATCTGACTTACAAAATGCCTGAACATCTGACTACCTTTAGATACAATTCTTTCTAAAGGTACCCTATTTAATAATAATAATAATAATAATAGTAATAGCAATAATAATAATAGCAATAATAGTAATAGCAATAATAATAATAATAATAACAACAACAACAACAACAACAACAATAATAATAATTCTGTACTGTACTTCATTTTAAGGGTTGAAAGAGAAAACTGAGAATCAGTTTGAGGTAGTATGGGATGAACTATTAGTCTGCACTCTGTACTTTTTTGTAGGCCCTTGGGCTGAAAAGGGGATATCTGCAGGATTGCATCATTTGTTGCATCAAAGAAACAAAAACAATCCCTTCTAGCCCCTGTTTAAAAGATTAATCCCTATGAGCATGCCTCAGTTTAAATGGTTGGGACTTAGGGGCAGCCCTATCACTTGTTGCAAGAACAGCTTCATTTGGGAGGTGCTCGGGATTGGGGTACAGTGGCAAGATCTTGGGGAACTCAGGGGACATGCTGTCACACTTACTCTGCACCTTCTCAATTAATCAGCTGTCTTCAGATGCAGTGGATAAAGATCCCCTGTTTCCAGTATTGAACAGAGATTCATTCACTTGCATAATCCATTCCTATGCACTGAAAGGAGAAATGCACTCTTCATTCCAACAGGAATGGATTAGTTCTGTTCTTATACAATTCTTCAGTTTTGTGCATTTCATTCCTTACTGCCTGCTTCCCATGTGTATTCATGATTCAAGTTTCACTTGGCAGCAAAATTTACTACTGGCAGCAAAGGGTAACATTGAGGTGCCTTGCTACACGGTGATAGTGAGACTTTTATTATTCTCATCTTCCGAGTGATAGTTCTGCTACATGCTTGACTTTTTCGGGGTGTCTTATAGACCTGTATGTTATGTTGAGGATTATCCTTGTGAACCTGCATGACATAAAATGAAGCAAAGTTGTCACAATAGTGTATTTCTGGATCTAAAGAGGCGAGAACATTTGAAATGATACATGCTTTGAAATTTGGTAAACTGCCCTTGCCCCTCCATTTTCCCTCAGGCTGATAACATCTCTGCATTATCTGATTTTCTGGTACATGTCAGCTATTTAATTTGGAACATCTTTATTTGGACTGCTCATATCACAAGTTTTAGATTCCCCAAAGCAACTGGAATACTTGGTGAAATTAACTGTTGTTTTAATTCAGTGTTTTTATTCTGACTTATTATGGCCAAATGAAGTCAAATCAGCTGAGGAGAAGTAAATATCATAAAGTACTATATCAGCAATAAAAATTAATACTAAGGCATTTACTAAAAAGTCATTTTAAACATATTTCTGAGGCCAAATACAGCAAATGTTCCCGAAATGAATTAATCCTTGTAAGTCTGCGCCTTTAGACAAGATTCTCTACAAATTGCAGTGCAGCTGAGCAGAACCCATCTGTTGTAGCTCAGCAGATAAGGGAATGTAGAAAAAAAATTCTGAAAAAAAGTGAAATGTTCTAAAGACTACCATGTAGAAGAATAGCCCAGCCACAGGGAAGAGTCATAGTTTATTAACAAAAGGAAGGTTTTATATATAGAATGCCACTGATTTAGTCCCTGCCATCTCAAGTTCACAGACTTCAGGCTGTTGGGCCGGGAATGATTTCTGCCTGAAAAATTCCTGTCAAGTCAAAGGAAACACACTGAGCTTGAGAGTTCATTCATTTTTACTAATATAAACAGCTTTCCACTTCATGTACATTCTGGACATCTCACGAAACCAACTAAACAACTATATCGCTTCTATGGTAGACATGCTTTTACGTCATCAACCAAATTCAAAGGTTCCTTTAAAATATTATGCATGATTCATCTACTAGGCCAATATTTATTCATGAGTCTATGAGTCTGCCCAAATCTAATGTCTTCAGGATGCATTAAATGATAAAGCTCATATTATTCTTAATCAATGGGAAAGCTGAGGTGATGGGTTTTAAAGGGCATGTATCTGACGCAGTGTTTCTCAACCTTGGCAGCTTTAAGATAGGTGGATTTCAGTTCCCAGAATTCCCAAGCTAGTTTGCTGACTGGAGGATTATCAGAGTTGAAATCCACTCATTTTAAAGCTGCCAAGGTTGAGAAACATTGATCTGGTAGATTCCAGGTATCTTGGGCAGAAATTTGTCTTGCTTTACAGAATTTCCCAAGGCGAAGTCTTAGCTGACTTATACAACATGCAAACTGCTGTCTCTTTGTTTCGGTTTTTCAAGGCTTTCAAGCAAACAAATAAACATATATGTGTTACTTGGTTGTCCAGCATCGCAGGTCATATATTAATTGCTTCCTATTGTTTTCACAGAATGAATTTCATCATATTATTACTCGGGATATAAGCATCAACTCTAGTAATCATAAACATTTCTTAATTAATTTCTCAAGTAATTTTTAGGGATATGTAATAATGTTCCATTGATTATTATGATTATCAATTAGATTTAACATGGCCACCTACTCCAGTGGACTCTGGGCAGCTTACAAAATACAGCATTAAATTAAAACAAAGAAAAACATAAACAAAACTAGATAGCCTGGATTAAAAACAAACCATTAAAATTAAGAATAACAGCCATCTCCACTCCCTCCCCAATACATTAACCCCACACCTGGGACCAAAGC